TTTATTATTTTCAACTTGTTCTATCTAAGCGCTGGTATTTATTATTTTCAACTTGTTCTATCTAAGCGCTGGTATTTATTATTTTCAACTTGTTCTATCTAAGCGCTGGTATTTACTGCACGATGGAAATTACTTTTATACAAAATTTTGATTTATATTAGCGAAGATGTGAAGATAATACATTAAAGCGTTTCCTTCTTTATGTAATCATAAAGGCTCTCAAGTAAATAGTAAGCATAAAGTCTTATGTATTTCCTCGATGCTGATCAGACTATTCCGTACACAAATGGTACTGAATATAACATGCAGTCGTATTCATTACATGAACGGAGAAAATAGTTTGTGGGATGATTGTTGTTTGCACTAATTGGCTTTATATTTTGTCTTTCTTGACTGTGTGAGTTAAAATTTATGTAGGGAATATGTACTACCAGTTAGATCAGATCAACCACTTCTTTTTAGCGAATTACGGTTCAATCTGTTGATTCAAGATTCCACAAATTCATGTTGCGGATACAAGCTTTCGTTTCTTTCAGGAAATATCTACTTTTTTGCTTTAAAACGTAATGAAGGTATGTATAATGTTTTGAAGATATCCAAGAACTGTACGAAGACACACTGTTGAATGAACGGAAAAGTCTCGAGCAAAAGGCATATGAAACACGAAAAATTGCTCAGCGTTGGGAAGCAAACCCACCATTTGGACGTATAAATGCACCGCTTGCTTCGCTGGTAAATTCATCTAGTTTTTTTTTCTGCTTTTTTTTTCCAGATTAATTCGCTTGTTAACATTACGTATTATAAATGTAATTTTTCATGAAGTACATACGGTTTACGAGTAATACAACATTTCATGCATTCCAGGATTCCAGTCTTCATTACGGTGATCAAACTATTCCGTACACAAATGGTACTGAATATAATATGCAATCGTATTCATTACGTGAACAGAGAAAACAGTTTGTGAGATTTTTATTGTTTACTCTAATGAGCTTTCTATTTTGTTTTTCTTAATTGTGTGAATTAAGCTTTATCTAGGGAATGTGTACTACTAGTTAGATCAGATCAGCCACTTCTATAATACTTTTTAGCCAATTACAGTTCGATCCGGTTGATTTCAGTAATGTTACCATCAATAAATATGTTGAAGTCTCTTACTGATGGTTGAATACACTGTTGAATAATTAAGCCTGTTGAAAAAAAGAGAAAGATAAAAATAACATTGCTGATTATTCGAAAGTGTGATGATTAAGATTTTCTTTCAGACTTCGGGAGATGGTTGGCGATCCACAGAAAGAATTACTCAAATGACTCCTACAGGCCAAATGGTCACAACCACTGTAAGATTTTGAACCGGATTCGAATTCCTTTTTCTTTTGATCTTCCAGTTTCTTTCAATTTTTGCATATTTTCCCAGAATGATAGTGGAGGAGGAAAGACAGGACCAACTATTTGTATTTTGTTGATTTTCTAACCTATGCATGCATTTTTGATATATATGTAATATGCATTAGTTGGTTATATAAGTTGTTATAAAAATTATCAGTATTGTAAGTCGTTATTAACAGCATTCATTTTTCTACAGCTGTCCGTATTTTATCTCTACTGTTCTTATCCGTTCAACATCACTTTGTTGTCACCTTTCTTGGGTTGGTGGAATTTCAAATTTTAAATGTTTAATCCTCAAAAGAAGAGGGTTGATACAATACGTAATTGTCCAATCCCGGAATAGTTTTACAATCACCGTAATGACTTACGTATGAGAATTTGAAAAAAATTTAAGGCTTAGAAACGGATTATTTCGATCTTTGGCAATAGATATTTCCTTCAGTAATTAACATCATATCCTTCCAACTGTAATTAAATGATGCTTATTTGGAATATGTTATTTACCTGATTATTTGCTTAAATTTAAATTAGCCGTGTATTTTTTGTAGACAAGCGGCTTAATTGATAACGATGGCATAGAATGGGAAATAGAGGAAGTTGTTCTGGAGAAGGGTCATACCGGACTTGGTTTTAGTATTGCTGGTGGTCTTGATCAGCCGTATATCGATGGAGATCCTTCGATTTATGTTACAAACATTATACCTGGTGGAGCTGCAGCTGCTGATGGACGAATGAAGTAAGCTATATCGTAACAATTTTGTGTAAGACAACTATACATTAACCGTTTTTCATTGGTGCAAAATTTTAATTTCCAAATCAAGCTTTGAATAGTGTAGAAAAAAAAGTCCATTTGTAAATGTCCGTACCTAATAAACTAACCTGTTTTATTGAAGGATTCAAGACATTATCATGAAGGTGAACACCACTGACTGTACACGGGTACCACATGAGACTACAGTTAACGCGTTGAAAAATGCAGGAAATGTTGTGCGATTGGTTAGCCTTTACCATTTAACTTTGCAATAGCGGAATTTCCAGTGATTAAAATATGAAAGCTATTAATCAGCTTCCATAAAAAATTAATATATTTTAGGTTTTAAAACGACGCCGTTCAGGGCGTGAAAGTGCTGATCTTAGAGGAAGCGTCATTTCGCCATATGTTTCACCCTTGCATGATGGATCATCATCTGTCTCAGTTCTACTGCCACCAGCTCCACCGGCTCACAGCTCTTACACCAACATTCCTGTTCAGCGGATGTTAAGTGAACTCGAAAGATTGGAGCAAATTCCAGGCGCCCAAAAAATTGATTTGTTCAAGGTATAGTGCTTGTCTTAGAAGCATTAAAAAATATTTTCGTTCTAATATAATATAATTTGTAGTGCCACGTTATATTTTCTTTCTCTTCGCTATAGAGAGCAGAATTAATAGCTTAATGAATCGATGGAAATCCTATATAAGATCATGAGCTTAATAAATCACTGCTCCATCACTTATATGCGAAAAATGATACAAAGGAATTCAAAAATATCAATTGTGTATCGACAATATCCGGCTGAAAATAGTATTTTTTTTTGTTTCAAATGTTTATTTAGGGTTCAAAGGGACTCGGCTTCAGCATAGCTGGTGGAGTAGGTAATGAACATGTGGCTGGTGATACTGGCATTTATGTAACAAAAATTATTGATGGTGGAGCAGCATATCACGATGGTCGTTTGAGAGTTGGCGACAAACTTTTAGCTGTAAGATTTTTCGCATTCACTTTCGGGAATTATTGTCTCTAGCATGTTCTGTTTTTTGTTTAAGTGCATTTCATTAATTCGCATAATCACTGGTTGTGTTTGATTCTTATCTTGTGAGTTTTTTTAACTTTTCAGAGTATATTTAAGACCAAGTGGATCCTTAATTTCTCGTATTATTAATTTGTGGTTTTGATATTCTCTTGTATAAATGCTTCATTTAAGATCGTAGAGTTTGATTAATAAGTAATAGATCGATCTGTAATTGAAATACCTGTCATGATCAGTTGAATTATTAGTGTGATTTGTGACTATACTCTTTTTATTTCTTATATCTTAGTACCGAATGGCAATCTTTTATTTGTAAGTGAAGCGTCTCCTTCATCTCTAAAATTAGGAGACATCTTACTTTTAAGGTTGATAATGTGATTCTGGAAAATGTTACGCATGAATTTGCTGTGAATACGTTGAAACAGACGGCTTCTAAAGTAACTCTGGTTTATTTGAAAAACCCGCATCCAGAACTGCTGCCAAATTTTGACGATAGTGGTAATCGCTCAGTTGGTGCTCCACCCACTCCGGCTCGTTCTGGTAAGCGCTACCCCAGCACTTCAGTGGATGTTTCTTCTGGTTTCATTACCTGCCGTCGAATAGATCAGATTAACGATGACCATTTTTAAGTATTACCATAGAAATGTCATTCTGTAAGATAATCAATGTTAAATATTCATCTGATATCAGCTCTGAACACACCAATTGCCGTGTGAGAGTGAGCACTTTTTACTGGAAAACAGCTCAAGACGATATTGTCAGAGATTTTTTGATTCATCATTGATCTGATCGCTTTATGACTGTATTAAACAAACTGCTGAAATGGTTGGCGTCTTTAGTATCTTTTTATATAGCTAAATGATAATGCATTTTAAACATCCTACGACTGACTTAAAATTTGACATGAAAACATTTTATTCTTTTAGCTGCTTCGCTACATCACGATTCATTTGATACGCAACAGTCATTTTATACAGTAACACAGCAAGAGTTACCATTAGGTCCACGTATCGTGCACCTTAATCGTGGAATGCAAGGATTAGGTTTTAACATCGTTGGTGGAGAAGATGGAGAACCGATTTATATCAGCTATGTTTTACCTGGTGGTGTGGCTGATCTTTCTGGAAATGTAAGAAAGGTATGTCGTTGTGGGCGAATTCATTTATTATTTCATCGTAAACGTGTATTGCATGCTTTAGAATTTCGTGAGTTTGTGCGCTTCTTGATTATGATAAGATATGGTTTTCAACCATTTCTTTTTTTTTTCTTGTTTGAAATTTCAGGGTGATGTGTTGTTGCAAGTAAACGGTGTCAATTTGCGAAATGCAACCCATGCTGAAGCAGCTCGTGCATTAAAGGAAGCTATGAATCCTGTGTCCTTAACGTTGCAGTATCGGCCGCAAGGTATCATCTTACACATACTGTGACATGTAACGTTGTCGAACTCTCTTCAACTTCTATTAAATTATTTTCTTGATTCTAGATAGTTCCATCTGTGTACATTGTATAGTATCTGTGAATGCTGTGCTATATCTGAAGTATTAAAATTTATTTTTCCCTAAAGTGGATATTAACGCAAGAAAATGAGATCCACAAGTGATCGTATGTTAATAACTGAACTAGTTTTGAAATTACCTTTTATTTGTAATGTTTTTCAAATTAAATGAAGACTTGTCCGAGCGAACAGTTTTTCTCCTGCAACTTTTATCATTGCAGAGTATGGACAATTTGAAGCTAAAATTGATCAGCTTCGTCGAGATTTGATGAGCGGCGGAGCGATAACTTTTGGTGCACCACGTAAAGAACTTTTTGTCAGGTACTGTCAGAATATATCTGTGTTGTTGTTTTCGTTTCTCACGATATAATGTAAGGTTGATTTATGGTTTTATCTAATTTTTGCAGAGCCATGTTTGATTATGATCCAGCACGGGAGGCAGGTGTTCCTCATCGTGCCTTACCTTTCTTTTATGGTGACATTCTACATGTCACGAATGTTGCGGACGATGACTGGTGGACAGCACGACTGGTTACAGAAAATGGTGAAGAAGGCATGGAAGGAATTATCCCATCCAAAAAGAGAGTTGAAAAGAAGGAACGACAACGGAGAAAACAGGTAACGGTAGTCCTTACACGAAATTCGTTTACGGACGTATGAGCGTATGTATGTCTGTGTGTGTGTGTGTGTGTGTGTGTGTGTGTGTGTGTGTGTGTGTGTTTGAGTGTTCTGAGAAGTTCACTCTTCTGCAGTTCATCCATTTCTTAAGACTTTAGGCTTATTTTTTGTAAAATATTTCTTTTTCTTTCCGTAATTGTTACTGATGTCTCATGAATATGATCATAGTTTAAGGAGCTGAGTTTTTTCCACCTTTTCCCGTTTTTTCCACTTATACAATCGACTTTAAGTTGCTATTGAGTTCTTTTATTCGCATTTATAAAGGCAGGGATTACTTTTCTAAAAAAAAAATGTTCAAATCGGAGTGAACCGATTCTTTTATTTTCACCAAATTTCTTATAGACTTTATTTTTCGAAATCAACTTCTTTAATATCAGAAATTATACATGGGACTTTTTGTGAATACAAAATGTTTTATCAAAAATCGTCGTTTCAAGTGCTGGCGATTTTTCAGGTCAATTTTAACGCCGGTAGTCAAAGTCTTCCTCGTGGTATGGATGGACGTCGTGGTTCACGTTCACAGCTGTCATTCTCACGTAAATTCCCATTCGTTAAGAGTACCGACAAGCTTAACGAATTCACTGACAATGAGCGTAAGTTTGTTGCAATTACCAAGCTAAATTGGTCCACTTTTTTAGCATTTCTAAATATGAGA